GATTTGCTTGTTTGGAGAAGGAGAGATTTGTCTTTTCATCTTGGTATTTTTAATTTCTCCAAGTTATCTCAGAAATTGTAAAAACTGCACAAATAAACGGCCTCATGGAGACAAGCGAATTGACTAAAAGCAAGCCATTTTAATTCATTCTTTTAAATGCACTGTTGGACATTCCGTGTTCCTTTTATTTTCGGAGCTTTCTCCTGGCCCTGCATTAAATGCCAAGGAGATCTTTTCATTTTGGGGGGCAGTGTTTTCTGCCTCTCTTGATCCATTTATATTAGACGGGGGGGGGGGAGGAAACAACCAAGCAGGGCAGCCACGGAAACCCCCATATTTATGCATAACCTGGGGTCCGTGGTCTATTTTGCCAATTTTAGAAGGTACTTTTCACCTTGCTTTCACTTTGGGCCACATTAATACCTTGTGCCTTTGAATTCCCGGCTGCACAATCACCGTCCCAGAGAATCAAAGCTTAATGTTAACTGTGCGGAAAGTTCTCACCCATAACTCTGAGCTGTAGAAATATCCAGGCCCACTAGATGGCATCCAAGGTTAACAGAAAAATCCAGCCATCTGCTGCCATCTAGTGGTTTTACAAGTATTGCAGCTCAGTGTCTCTGACCAGATAAGGGCAGATGGGGGGTGGGGGGGAAACCCAAGAAATGAATGGCCATTCTACATCACAGAATCACAGGGCTGGAAGGGACCTTTGAGATCTTCTAGTCCAACCCCCTGCTCAAGCAGGAGACTCCGTACCATTCCGGACAACTTCTTGAAAACCTCCAGTGATGGAATACCCACAACTCAGGGATGTAGGCTGTTCCGCTGCTTAATAATTCTGCCCATTAGGAAATTCCTCTTTATTTTCAGGTTGGATCTTAACAGGCATTGTGTGCACATTAAAAAAGATGGGACTTCAATCACATCCCCATCGTGGTTTTTTTTTCCACAATACTCTGCAAAATTAGCAGCACTTCCATGGCAAACTAATCAAGAAATTATTGCTTTTATATAACGCCTCACTGTTTTATGCCCTGATGTGCATCTGCGTCTATCTTAAGATTTTTTTATTATGAAACTTTTTAAGATGCTATTTATAACGGCACTTTTGGTTTGAAGTAAAAGCCAACCTCCAGGCTTCCCCCCCCTCCCCTTTATATAAGGGGGGGAAAGGACAGGAAGCCTTTGGCACATACAAAGGATTACAGTAGGAGCTGTTGAGACAATTCTTTGAAGTGAAAGCTACTAAGTCTGGAGTGGGATTTTGCAAAACTCAGCAATATTTAAATGCTTCTTGATAACAACAGAGGACAACAGAATGTCACTGCTCCACAGTTTTAATAGAACAAAACAAAATATTGTATTGTGGGCTTCCGGCATTCCTCAGCAAATAAATAAATAAGCTAAGCAGCTCATGGTCTTTTCATTTGATTAATCCCAATTCAAGAGCTACATCCCAAAAAAAGAATAAAGGAGTGGAAAAATATTGCCTGCTTTTTTGTTGTTGTTGTTGCAAAGCAAGAATTGGAGCCCAGATCTTTTATTAGAAGGGTCAACAAAACTCTTTAGAGCAACCTGCTCCAGATGTGTCGGCCTCCATCTCCTTCACAGGGCCTTTTGGCCAACTCATCTGGATGACACAAGCCTGAAGAAGCCACCATACCACATATATGAGGACGGCTCAGAGACACGGTCTGTGTACAGTGCAAAAATTACATAATCAACGCTCATGAGTTTAAAAGGAAAAACTACTCAACCAGTTTTAATCATGTGTTAAATTTGTATGTCTGATCGGAATGGAAAGAATGTGGATAAGAAGAGCAGAACGCAAAATGGTTCTTTCTGAGTTCATTTCAAGTCACGCTCAAGAAAGCAAATCCAATTAGATTTATTTGGGATTGGAAAGTTTAAAAAAAAAGCATCACCAGAAATGAGGCTACAGACTTTTGGGAGTTGGAGAGTAGGTGGGAAAGTTAAGTATTGGTAGTCCTTGACTTATAACCATTCGTTTAACGATTGTTCAGCTGGCATTGAAAACAGTCACTCCTAAATTGCTAACTATTGGGCTAAAGAAAGATTCTGAGATAGTGGGAAATCTGATTATTAGATTAAAATAGTTGGAAAATAGTAAAAAATAAGGGATTAATCTGTTTAATATTGAGAATTTAGAATTATATGGGAAATGAAAATTAACTATTAGGAAATAGGCTTGAATTATTGTTTAGCCCAGATAATATAGATAACAAAGGACACTCCACTATTAAGGTGATGATGTATTAGGGCGAGAAATAGAAAATGTTTATGAAATAAAATTAGAATATATCTAAGTAAGTAATAGGTGTATTTCAGATATTATAATTTTTATGTAGTGAGACAAAGGAAATTTAGGTTACCCGAAACTTAAATACTTTGGATATTAAAGGTTAAATTGGAGCATTGTAATTAAAAACTAAAACTTAGGCAAAGCTTAAAAACAGGATATGGATATGTATCAGCAAAAATGCATTGATCAATGTGATAATGCTTAACTGAGTTTGACACAATTAAAAATTTATTAGCTTAAATAGGATAGAGTAAATGTTAAGGGAAACAGAGAAGAAATATTTGATGATGTAACCTGAGATATGTACTAAAGATTCTGTTATTGAACTTTTGACTAACCCAATCACCACGTTGCTTTCCAAATATTTGGATGTAAAACTGGAAAACCAATAAAACTTTTATAAAAAAGAAAGAAAGAAAGAAAGAAAGAAAGAAAGAAAGAAAGAAAGAAAGAAAGAAAGAAAGAAAGAAAGAAAACAGTCACTTATGATCAATCCTCACCCATGAAACCGATGCAGGGCTGCCACTGTCACCTGATCAATATTTGGGCACTTGACAACTTGGCAACCATTCCAAAGGGTTATGGCATGTGATCAAGACCTTCCCAGCTAGTTTCCAACAAAAAAAAAGTCAGTGGGAGAAGTTGGATTCGTTTAACGGCCCCATGACTCACTTAGCAATTGCAGTCATTCGCTTAATAACCCCCCCCCCCAAAAAAGATCATAAAATCAGGTGCAACTCAATTAACAACTTACTTGCCTTGGGAAATTCTGCTCCCAATTGTGGTCCTAGGTCAAGGACTACCTGCATATTTTCACACCCTATGTCACCCCTGATTTTGTCATTTCCCCACCACCACCAAAGCTAAGAATCTGATCCAAGCATCCCCTCTTTTGAGTTCATGTTCTGGCAATCCAGTTGAGAAACACCGGGGCACCTGTTAAAAATGGCGTTCAGTCAATTTTTTTTTTAAACGGTACCAACTGACCGTTGACCCCTTCCCCTTGAGGGACGCTTCCTTAAATGCTATCTTAAAAAAAATCAGAATTTAAACTTCTCGTCTCTTTCTTCCAAAGTGGACAGGGTAGACCAGGGGTAGGCAACCTGAGCCAGCCATGCTGAGGGGAAAGGGAGAGGTTTCCAAGCTGAGCCATGCTGGCTCAGGAATTCTGGGAGTTGAAGTCCATGAGTCATGAGGGGGCCATAGTTTCCCCATGCTGGCTCAGGAATTCTGGGAGTTGAAGTCCATGAGTCATGAAGGGGCCATAGTTCCCCCATGCTGGCTCAGGAATTCTGGGAGTTGAAGTCCATGAGTCATGAGGGGGCCATAGTTCCCCTATGCTGGCTCAGGAATTCTGGGAGTTGAAGTCCATGAGTCATAAAGCGGCCTAGGCCTAGGCGGGAGGTAGGCAACCTTGGCTCTTTTATGACTGGTGGACTTCAACTCCCAGAATTCCTGAGCCAGCCACGCTGAGGGGAAAGGGAGAGGTTTCCAAGCTGAGCCATGCCGGCTCAGGAATTCTGGGAGTTGAAGTCCACGAATCATGAAGAGGCCATAGTTCCCCCATGCTGGCTCAGGAATTCTGGGAGTTGAAGTCCACAAGTCATAAAAGAGCCAAGGTTGCCTACCCCTGCTCTAGACATTCCTAAATATAAAATGAGCACACACACCTTTTAGAAAGACACCTACAGGTAGCTAACCTTGCAGGTAAGGAGGGGACGGCCTTATTGGCTATGTCTTTGCAGGAAGCTTGCTTGAGCAATTTCTTTGGTTTGAGATCCATACCATGGTAGGGCTGCTGGAAGAAGCAACGGGTTCTCAAAAGTGGCTATTTTTTCTGAAAACCCAGACCCATTGTGAAATTTGGGACCACACTTTCTTTGGCTTTTCAATTGGCTTCAGGTGCTGCAGAGCAAAATGGCAAAGCCAGCGTTTGCAATCTGGGGCAGAGTGATTAAAGGGAAGCATATGGGTTAGAAGTCTTAAGCACTCCAGGAGTTTTCAAACTCCTGGAGCCTGCTAGTTAGAAAAGGAAAAAAAAAATTCCCATAACCCCTGATCAAGAGGCAAAGGTCTAGAGCAGTGGTTCTCAACCTTTTTAATGCCGCGAACCCCCAACCGGTCGTAAGTCGAGGACTACTCAACCAGTCGTAAGTCGAGGACTACTCAACTGGTGCAGCATCGTTTGCAGAATGGGGCTTTTAGCGGGCTCAGCAGGGCAGAGACAGCCTGGACAATTCCTATTGGCTTTTGAAAGCCAATAGAATTAGACTCTATTCAAGAGAGTCTGTTCTATTGGCTTTCAAAAGCCAATAGAACAAAAGGGAGTAGCACAGCTAAGGAAAAGGGGGAAAAAAATGGCGGACTGCGTTGTTTGGTGACCCCCGTGAAGTGGTCGCTTGACCCCAAATGGGGTCCCGACTCACAGATTGAGAACCGCTGGTCTAGAGATAGCAAATTGTCTGCATCTGAGTGATTTTTTTTTTTTAAAGTCTTGTAGAACCTATCAAGTTCTCATGGGACCCAGTCTGAAGGAGCTAGGGCCTTTAAGGCACGAGGCACACCTCTCTCTCTAGAAAAGAAGGGAAAAAAATAGAGTAATTTTAAAATGTTACATACCCGAAAAGTGCATTGAAAAAAACTATTTGCGATGCTCTGAGTTATATTCACTTACCAAAGGAATACCTGCAAAATAAACAGGAGGAAAGAAAGAGTTAGAATATTTGGGAAGATCCAACATTTTGTGCACGTATTTGTATCTGTGGAAATACTTAGTCAATGCAGGGCAGCAAAGAAAGTCTCCAAACTTTGGTGCCATCATTTCCGGCCAGCTCTTGGTTTCCTCCCAGAAAATGTTAAGGGGATTCACAAAGAGGATGGATGGATGGATGGAAGTGTGTGTGTGTGTGTGTGTGTGTGTGTGTGTGTGTGTGTGTGTGTATGTCTGACTGACTGTCTATCTATCTATCTGTCTGTCTGTCTGTCTGCCTGCCTATCTACCTACCTATCATCCATCCATCCATCCATCCATCCATCCATCCATCCATCCATCCATCCATCTATCTGTCTATCTGCCTGCCTGCCTATCTACCTACCCATATCATCTATCATCCATCCATCCATCCATCCATCCATCCATCCATCCATCCATCCATCTATCTATCTATCTATCTATCTATCTATCTATCTATCTATCTATCTATCTATCTATCTATTTTTCTATCTATCTATCTACTATCTATCTATCTATCTATCTATCTATCTATGGTATCTATATCTATCTATCTATCTATCTATCTATCTATCTATCTATGGTATCTATATCTATCTATCTATCTATCTATCTATCTATCTATCTATCTATGGTATCTATATCTATATCTATCTATCTTATCTATCTATCTATCTATCTATCTATCTATCTATCTATCTATCTATCTATCTATCTATGGTATCTCTCTCTCTATACACACAAACACACACACACACACACACACACACACCCCGTATGTATATATATGGTGTGCTTATATATGGTATGTATGTATATATATATATATTTATATCAAATATAGGACAAAGCAATCTGCTACTGCTTTTTCGCTCGTGTCTAGCAGCATTTTTTGCAGGCAGACGTCACTACTGCGACAACTGTACATTCAAAATTTTGTAGCTGACCAAGAGTTAAAGGGAGGCTAGTATAGCTATTTCGAGCTAATTAGCTCTCATCAGCCAGTCATACCCTTCTGAGATTCGAACCTGGGCAGCTTGCATGTTAGGCAGCTGTATTAACCTCTAGGCCACAGGTTCCCCTCACTTCTGTCAGCTGATATATAATTTATTGGCCACTCATTTTACCATATGGGAACTCTGGATGACTTACAATTATAAAAATATATCTATACATGTACAATTAACACATAATTAAAATCAACATTAAAACCTAAGGACACATGGGGAGGACGGGGGCGGACTGGGGGGGAGGAGGAGGCTTCTGCAAAATGCCATGGATGGGCACTGCATAGAGTTTCTCAACCGTGGCAGCTTAAAGATGTGTGGGCCAACTCCCAAAATTCCCGAAGCCTGGCTGGCTGGGGAATTCTGGGAACTGAGGTCTACCCACACATCTCTAGAGCTGCCAAGGTTAAGAAACACTGGCATACAGGGTGGAGCATCAACTACCACTGAATATTGTGTGGGCATTAAAGCAGAATTTGTTGTGATACCCTCTAAGACAGCCTCTGAGAGAGTAGATGGGCTGGTTTTGAATCCAGTTGGGGGCTGGGAGAAAGTCGAGGTTGGCACGGATTGGAAGCAGAGTGAAAAAGCACGAGAGGGACTGGTCCAGGGCAAGCAAGTTTCATGGTAGCTCCAGGAGGGACTTGATTAAAAGTCACCTTCCCCTTTCAAAGTAAGCAACACCACGCAAAGGGCAAAGGGGGTTCAGAAACAGCAAGCTAAAGAAATAAAGAGAAAAAGGAAGCACAGCTAAAATTAATTTCCATGACGTCATTCACTCTATATAGCAGTAGTGGCGAACCTATGGCACGGGTGCCAGAGGCGGCACTCAGAGCCCTCTCTGTGGGCACGCGCGCCATCGCCCCAGTCCTAGGCCTTCAGCTGGGTTTTATAAAACCTTTTCACTTTAGGCCTCCGCTGCCGTGTGCAAAAAAAAAAAAAGGTTCAATTAGTCAATTTCAACCTCGTGGGAAAAAAAAAGATCTTGCAAAGTTGGAATTGATTGATTGAAATTTTTAGTCCCAGCCAGTCTGCCGTTACCACTGCAGCCACGCCCACCCACTGGGTCATGCCCACCCACTGGGCCACGCCCACTCAATGCGCCACACCCACCCGGCACTCAACGATGCATATGTGGGTTTTGGGTTGCAGTTTGGGCACTCGGTCACTAAAAGGTTCGCCATCACTGCTATATAGTATCCTCTCATTCCTTTTTGTCCTTGCAAAAAATCCTTGGTTTCCCCCATATTTATCCACTCTTATCTACTCCAAGCACAACTTGGTCAGGAGGACACTGACTTTTCTAGGCTGCCTTATCTATGTTTCCTGGTAAAAAACATGGGAAAATCCCATTGGAGGAAAATTCCACTTAGGGTTAGGGTTACATCACCATGAACTCCTAGAGCAAAATGGACATCGCCAACAAACTAGGAGTGCTTGGGTATGGTTAGGAGGGCACTGACTTTTCTAGGCTGCCTTATCTATGTTTCCTGGTAAAATACATGGGAAAATCCCATTGGAGGAAAATTCCAATTAGGGTTACGGTTACGTCACCATGAACTCCTAGAGCAAAATGGACATCGCCAACAAACTCGGAGTGCTTCGGTATGGTTAGGAGGGCACTGACTTTTCTAGGCTGCCTTATCATCTTTCCTGGTAAAGTAAATGGGAAAATCCCATTGGAGGAAAATTCCAATTAGGGTTAGGGTTACGTCACCATGAACTCCTAGAGCAAAATGGGCATCGCCAACAAACTCGGAGTGCTTCGGTATGGTTAGGAGGGCACTGACTTTTCTAGGCTGCCTTATCTATCTTTCCTGGTAAAGTAAATGGGAAAATCCCATTGGAGGAAAATTCCACTTAGGGTTAGGGTTACGTCACCTCCTAGAGCAAAATGGACATCGCCAACAAACTAGGAGTGCTTGGGTATGGTTAGGAGGGCACTGACTTTTCTAGGCTGCCTTATCTATGTTTCCTGGTAAAATACATGGGAAAATCCCATTGGAGGAAAATTCCAATTAGGGTTAGGGTTACGTCACCATGAACTCCCAGAGCAAAATGGACATCGCCAACAAACTCGGAGTGCTTCGGTATGGTTAGGAGGGCACTGACTTTTCTAGGCTGCCTTATCTATCTTTCCTGGTAAAGTAAATGGGAAAATCCCATTGGAGGAAAATTCCAATTAGGGTTAGGGTTACGTCACCATGAACTCCTAGAGCAAAATGGGCATCGCCAACAAACTCGGAGTGCTTCGGTATGGTTAGGAGGGCACTGACTTTTCTAGGCTGCCTTATCTATCTTTCCTGGTAAAGTAAATGGGAAAATCCCATTGGAGGAAAATTCCAGTTAGGGTTAGGGTTACGTCACCATGAACTCCTCGAGCAAAATGGACATCACCAACGAACTCGGAGTGCTTGGGTATGGTTAGGAGGGCACTGACTTTTCTAGGCTGCCCTATGTATGTTTCCTGGTAAAATACATGGGAAAATCCCATTGGAGGAAAATTCCACTTAGGATTAGGGTTACGTCACCATGAACTCCTAGAGCAAAATGGACATCGCCAAAGAACTCGGAGTGCTTGGGTAGGGTTAGGAGGGCACTGACTTTTCTAGGCTGCCTTATCTATGTTTCCTGGTAAAATACATGGGAAAATCCCATTGGAGGAAAATTCCAATTAGGGTTAGGGTTACGTCACCATGAACTCGTATAGCAAAATGGACATCGCCAACAAACTAGAAGCGCTTGGGTATGGTTAGGAGGGCACTGACTTTTCTAGGATGGCCTATCTATGTTTCCTGGTAAAATACATGGGAAAATCCCATTGGAGGAAAATTCCAATTAGGGTTAGGGTTACGTCACCATGAACTCCCAGAGCAAAATGGACATCGCCAACAAACTCGGAGTGCTTCGGTATGGTTAGGAGGGCACTGACTTTTCTAGGCTGCCTTTCTATCTTTCCTGGTAAGTAAATGGGGGAAAATACATTGGAGGAAAATTCCAATTCGGGTTAGGTTATTCACCAGAACTCCTAGAAGCAAAATGGACACGCAAACAAACTAGGAAGTGCTTGGGTCTGGTTAGGAGGGCACTGACTTTTCTAGGCTGCCTTATCTAATGTTTCTGGTAAAATTAATGGGAAAATCCCAGGGAGGGGATAAATTACAATAGGTTAGGGTTACGCACCATGAACTGTATAGCAAATGGACCACCGCCAACAAAACTAGGAAGCGATTGGGTATGGTTAGGAGGGGCACTGACTTTTCTAGGAGGGCACCTATCTATTTTGGTTTCCTGGTAAAAATAATGGGAAAAATTCCCTTGGAGGAAAATTCCAATTAGGGCTTAGGGTTTACGTCACCAGAACTCCTAGAGCAAAATGGACATCGCAAACAAACGTCGAGTGCCTAGTAGGTTAGGAGGGCACTGATTTTTCTAGGCTTCCTTATCTATGTTTCTGGTAAAATACATGGGAAAATCCCATTGGAGGAAAATTCAACTTAGGGTTAGGGTTATGTCACCATGAACTCCTATAGCAAAATGGACATCGCCAACAAACTCAGAGTGCTTGGGCATGGTTAGGAGGGCACTGATTTTTCTAGGCTTCCTTATCTATGTTTCCTGGTAAAATACATGGGAAAATCCCATTGGAGGAAAATTCCACTTAGGTTAGGGTTACGTCACCATGAACTCCTATACCAAAATGGACATCGCCAACGAACTCAGAGTGCTTTGGCATGGTTAGGAGGGCACTGATTTTTCTAGGCTTCCTTATCTATGTGCCCTGGTAAAATACATGGGAAAATCCCATTGGAGCACAACTTTCTCCATCTTCAATCTCCTCTTGATTCATTCGCTCTTTTGTCTACTTATCCGGTGTCTTTTTTGTCCTCTGCCTGTGATCAAAGCATCTCAACGTAGTTCCTTTGGAGACATTCTTTTCTTTCAGT